GGGATGGAATAAATGAAAGAGAGGATGGTAAGATTTTTTTTATTTTTTTATATCTTACATAAATGATTTTTCTGAAGATTTTCTAAAAAAAAAAATATAGAACCAGTTCGGACCAGATTTAAGTGTTTTTCTAATGCTGTGACTGTTAAAGGTTCTCACGTGAAGGTAAATTATTCGTCCTTTATAAACTTCAAAATAAACTGTTTATCTTCTTTATTAAAAAATTTTCTTCTAGCATGGTGTATTCGGTGATCATAAAGCCCAATTCGAATTAAACATTCACAAAAAGAATGTCAATGTGAAATGTCGATATGGAGTAATAGATATTGTCCGTTTCTTGGAAACCTTTTCTTTTCAAACTTAATTCATATTTTTTAATGATTCGTCACTGGTTTGGCGATGTTAAAACTTGCAGAATTAATGTTATTTATACCACTTATTTTCTATCAAAATAATCACTAAATTCCTAATATCAATTTTAACATTAAAAAGAAAATATATTATCATATTAACATTGCATTATTGTCGAGAGCTGCTATTGCGCTTTTTAATCGCTATAAATTGTCTCATCAGACCAGCTTATCTAAATATGCTGATGAATTATATAATACTTACCCAAACATTACTATCTATAACGCAGTAAGTAGGCTGTTATGCTTGTGATTATTGCTTGCGGTTATTGTTTGGCATTCTAATTTGTTGGCAAATAAGTATATATGCAGTTCTATATGATTCAGTTGTAAATTTACTAATAACAATTACTGGAGACAGATTTTTTTCATTTTTGGCAGACATTTATAGCCAACGAGGATATGTTTGTGGATATTTTTATCTCTTTATGTTTACTGTCACTAGTGTCACTAGTTTAAAATCAAATTTTGAGTTAATTATATTATTTAGTCAAAAAAATTAATAATAAATTAGAAGGTTATAGAAATTCCGCAAAGCAAGACACTCTGTGGTCACCAAGTAGGTAACTATTTATCTCATCCTCAAATTTGAATGCAATGTATAAAGCCAAAATACAGATTACACCAAATAAACAACAATTCGGCACTTTGTGCCTCGTCCTCAAATTCTAAATGACCTCAAATATGGAAGCAAATGCAAAATCTTCCAGCCTTAAAGTACGAACCAAGTTGACTCAAATGTGAAAACATACACAAACCAAGTTCGCTTTGGATGTAAAAGCAAAACACGAAACCTTCCAGCCTTGAGTATGGAGACAAACACAAACCAATTGTGCTTCAAGTGTGGAAGTCAATCATAACTCAAAGCAAGCCTCAAATATGAAAGCAAATGTAAACTAATTATGTCTGAAATATATTGTGAATGTGAAGTTATTGTATCATGTGATGACTCGTGATGGAATGGTTGCAATCTGATGCTCAAATGGGGTGTGGACAATAGAAACGGACCATGTTGTGAAAAAAAGCAATTTTGAGTTAGTATCACTATTATATGTAATTCCTCATGTAGAACATTTTTAGCTTAGAAACAATACCCACTTCGCTTAATAAAACTTTAAGATACCCTCCATTAAAGTTTTAAAAACAATAGTAAATTACTTGAAATGCAGATCTTTTTTTAAATTTTCTCAAAACATCATTTTCACAACATGGTCCGTTTCTATTGTCCAGACCCCAAATGTGGAAGCAAACATGGACTCTTCCACCAACGGGATGGTTATAATCCCACTACTCATAATAATTTATTTGCATACAATATATTTTAGAGATATGTACCATCCAATCTCAATGTTTTATTTGGATGTATGTTCGCACACACATTAAAATCATAAATTTTGTGCAAAAGCAAGAAAAAAATAAGGAAACAACTGCACAAGAATGTGAAGATTTTGATCCAAATTGGTTACAAATTTACTCTTGGCTTGATCAAAGTGAAGATAGTAATGGGAAGATGGCAATGTTTGTTAGCTGGTGTAAAAATTCAAAAAAAATATTTTTACAATGGGCACTAAGGTTTCTGGCCGAAACTCTCTTTATTAGTAGCCGAAATTGCCAAAACACTTTGGGCAAAAATTATTTTTTTATAAGCCCAAACTATTTTTTGTTATTAGTCGAAATTGGGAGAAATTACTTTAAAGTTGTTTAAGTTAAAATAAGTTGATTGGTATAGCCTTTTAATGTTTATGTTTATAAAAAATGCTGAAAAGCCCAAATTGGCCAAACTAGTTTGGACTTTGAGAAAACAGTTTGGACTGGGAACCTTAATGGGCACACAATCATACCAAAAGCAAACATTTGAACAGCATATAGATATTGATGATCATAAAATTGCTACAGTAGCTTATTATATGGGGCATGCTGCAACAATAACAGACAAAGTGAACATTGGTATTACCAAGGATTTCAGGGATCAAAATTTAGTCATCACAAATGTAACATGGTTAACAATTTTATAATGTCCCATTTGCAGGTGATATATAGAACTACACCTATATAAAATAATAATATGAAACTTATTTATATCAGATCTACTATGGAACCTAAGAATTATAGTACTATCAAAAGTATTTTGAAGAAAGAACAAGGTGAAAAAATTGCTCCTTATATTTTCAAAATAAATGATACTCAAACACTTGAAGCTTATCTAAGGAAAGAAAAGATTACTTATGAAATTTATCAAGAAGAAAGAAAAATAATAAATGTTAAGAAAAGAAAGCAAAATGAAAGTGCATTATTATCTAATAAAAAGTAGAAACATTTGGAAGAAAAATAATCTTGTTACAATATTGATTTATTTTTTCCTTTTAATTCTTTTAACAACATAATTCATAGCAATTAAAAAGTTATTTGGGCTATTCATAATCAAATAGGATTGTTTTTATATTTATCAGCAACTTTGGCAAAATCTTCATATTTAATTCAGAGACAGTAATTTTAACATGATAGATACTAGATCCAGTAGTGCTATAGTTACATTCGTAATCAGAAAGAATGTAAATCTTATTTTTATCAGTAATAATGTAGCTGTCTTTTCATTATGTTGGATATCATAATAAGATATCAAAAGCCAGAATATTTTCTTTAACTTTATCTAAAAGACAGTTGGAATGAATTTCATTTATATTAGAGGAAAATACTTCCTTGATATTCTTTAAATTACTTTCTTTATTTTCAATCAAGGTCATTTCTTAGTTTCTTTAATTTCAACTTGTGCAGTTTGTTGAGTTTCCTGCTTTCTTAATTGCTCAACCTCACTTTCAAGTCTTTGAATCTTATCCAATAATTCTTTCTTTTGATTACTATGACAATCCTTCGAAACTTCTAAGGCTTCCAAATGAGAACTGATTTCTTCCTTAGCACTAGTTAGTTGTTGTTTCAAGTCTTTATTTTGTTGTTCTAATCTACCCACATAACTTTGAGCCATTATTTCCATTATTGTGTGAGTTTTAACTGGCTCATCTTTCCTTAAATCACAAAGAAATTCTATTCTGTTTCTCATAATTCAACCACAATCACTACAATGTGGTAGAGTATCATCATCAAGAGCTTTTTTACACTCTACACAAATATAAGCAATGTCATTGTAATCATTATTGCTTCCATTGTAAGATATTATTTTGTAAGTAGCAGTCAAACTTTTTTCTCTTTCAAAAGGGCAGAAATTACAATGCCATTTATCTCCTCTCCTTAACTCATTAGCTTGATATTCTAATTTCATACTATTTGCTCTTTTGTAAGATATAAGTGTTGAATTTTTCCCTAGTTATTTCTTTTGCTTGCTTAACTCTGTTCTTTACTTTGTTAGTTAAGAGTTTAAATTTGTTTTCTTTTCTTGGTAAAGTTGGCAGTTCTTGAAATTGTTTGTTTGCTAAATAATTCTGCCATGAAACAACATTTTCTAACAGCTCTATTTGTTTCAAAACTTTTTCTAATTTATCATCCTTTTCTTTGCTTTGTCTTATTCTCCATTGTTTAGCCACCTCGAGAGCTTCTAAATGACAATTAAATGTTTCCTCCTCTAATTCTAATGCTTCTTCTAACTCTTGTCTGGTTATCTCTAACTCAGCAACACTTTTTTCTATAATAGCATTCTTTTCTTCATCATAAGTAAATCTAAAAGAATCTGAAGTAGCTAATGTTCATTCACTAAATCCTTTAACAATGTTTTCAATAGTGAATTCATTACCAAAAATAACTTTCTCAATCCCATTTTCTTTTTGAATATTTACTAAGGTTTCTGGTCGAAACTGCTTCTATTAGTAGCCGAAATTGCCCAAATACTTTGGGCAAAAATTATTTTTTTATAAGCCCAAACTACTTTTTGTTATTAGCCGAAATTGGGCGAAATTATTTTAAAGTTGTTTAAGTTAAAACAAGTTGATTCATATAGTTTTTTAATGTTCATGCTTATAGAAAATGTTGAGAAGCCCAAATTGCCCAAACTAGTTTGGGCTTTGAGAAACAGTTTGGACCAGAAACCTTAGTTATTACACTCAGAACCAAATAGGTTGTTTGGTCAAGAAATAGTCAATGCAAATCATACCCAGGAATTTCAAGAGATCATAATATATTTAAAGGAATTTTTTTACTTTAATGTTGCTTTTAAAATATTTGATTGATAAAATTAATTCTTTCTTTGCTTGTACTTTGTTGATACCCAAAAAAGGCAAATGATTGTCATACACGTGATCAAAATGTCTTAACTGGGGGTGGGAGTAAGTGCTTCTATTAAAATGATATTAGCTAATATATGCCAACACCCTAAGGAAATAAAAATAATTAAAATTAAGAAAAGAAAGCAGAATGAAGATATGCTTTAAATTTTTATTTTTATTAAAATATAAAATATTAACTATCAATACATAATTTAAAAAAAATATATAAATCAATTTGATGCTTCTTCCAATGCCTCACATCCAGAATCGACCACATAAAAGCACCTAATTCTCCTTCTTTTCCTTTGGGATGCATTATCATCATCATTCTGTGATTATTTACAACAGACCATTTAAGTAAAAGCATAAAAATCAATCAGAAAACAGAAATAACTAAAATACTTACATCATTATTATTATCACTCCTACTGTCTTCATCATCACTATCCTCCCTTTCTTCATCATCTCCATCATATCCACTCTCACCCCCGGCCTCTGACTCATCTTCTGACTCATCTTCTTTTTGATCCTCTATCAACAACAAACTCTCAAGATTGCCCAACTCATCTTCTAAATCTGAGCACCTTGTTTCATTCTCTTCCAACACCACCTTATTCAATTTTTTCACATCTATCTCTCCTATTACCTCCAATATGCTCTTCAGGGCCAGTACACAACTCCTCTAATTTTATTCCAATAAAACACAAAATGAAAATCTTGAACTTGTTGATTGAATTGGAATATTCAACAAGAATATGATTTACTTACCACAGCAGGCCTTCTATATCCTTCATCAGTACTAAATAAGTTAAAAAGCAATATAAGCTATAATGATTAATTAAATGATTTTGATGCTTAAATGATTTCTGCATAGTTCTTTAGTAATACTTACTTTTTTCTTCTTGAATTTGATATTCTGATTTTACAATGTTTGAAAAAAAGATAATTATTATTAGTTAGCAGAATAACTAACTCATTGTAACCAAGCATGTTGGTGGACATTTGAAATGTTGCACCAATTTTTTTGTTGTGTAATGTAATTTTACAATACACAGTGAATGTTCTCTCAATAAATAAACTGGGTTTCAATTGTACCTCAATTGTATTCCCAATTTAGAGAGGTGAGGACTATACGCTAGTGAATTTTCAAAGAAAACTAGAGTGACAAGTGGTGGTGATAACTACCATTCTTATGATACCCATTTCTTTCATCTTTATCACATTGTCATTTTCTATTAAATCTTGACATTGTTAAACAAGAATTAAAATTTTATTTGATCAACAAACACGTCATTAATTATTTATTATTGGCACTTGGTGTTGCACAGGTTTTTTTTGTTAATGCGATTGATTTTTTTTTTGGAAAAACAATTTATTTTTTAAAGACAAAAGCCAGTGATGTTTGGCATGATTGGCTCTAAAAAGAAACTTGTTAATAACTAACCAGAGATACCTTTTTTTAATTTGCATTGATATATCTTTTATATAAATGTATATTATTGAAATCAAAATGCGGAGCAGATCTTGCTAGGTAATTATAAGATTCTCATCATGATGGTAAACAATTGGTATTTGGCTTTTTGTAATCAATATTAATTACAATAAAAAATTACAAGATGTCAAGGCAGCACACCGTTGAATATGAAACAATTCAAATATGAAACATTTCAATATGCAATGTTTGATTATCAGAAATTAGCAAGTGTTGAAGCACGCACACTACCTTGAACACTTACAGTCATTCTTATGTTCCTCATGTACACAAGGCTAATCTGACCACGGTGCCCCCAATGACACAATGGTGCAACAGAATTCCAGGGGGGAGCCCAAGGCCCTGGAGTTTACCAAGACTGCATCATCCATCAAGGACACTTTTGATAATCTTCCCTCACAGCACCAAAACCCGAGAAGGCTGACAAGTTGCCTATGATCCTACTTCTAGGATAAAGATTGATCTATGACCAAGTCACAACTCTGTTGATGAATTGTAGTGCTATGTAAACATATAGGTCTATTGAAGCAATAACTTGTTTCAAGCACAGGAGGTTGCAATTCAGAATGGAGTTGGTGGCCCTGATATTAGTAAAATAAAATGGTTCAGATTTGTTTGGTATGTTATGTATAAATTAATCATTTTTATAAATGCTCTGCTTCTCTTTAATTTTTATTTGACCAACTGGATTGTTATTTAAATGAGGGTAAGGTTGTTGGTGAGTAGACATGCCACCAACAAGACAGCAACCCAGAACTCAAAACTCTGAATTCAGGGAAAATCCAAAACAACAACCCAGGTTGCAACCTCCCAAGTTGGAGAATTTTCAAAACAGTTGCAGACACTGACTTTATTCAAGAGGGGTATAACACAAAGTGATCATCACCCAAATGCTGATATTCATCTGTGATCAATGCCCCAATTGATAACAGGCAAGCCTGGTCTAAAGGGAAGATAAGGGAAAGTTTTGTCCAAAGCCTTCCAACTTGTGGGGTGCTTCAACTGTGGAGAAAATTTCATGGTACTGAGGCGTGTGAAAGCACCTGACTGCATGTTTGTGATAGGAAATTTTAATTAAATCTGACATCTGCAATCAACATCAGATTTATTATTCATAAGGAACTACACAATGGGAACTACAATTGATAATCAGGAAAAATAATTTATTTTGTGAATCCCAGAGACCTGGGTAGACATGCATTATTAAAAGTTTCATTTCTGGGTGGCCTTGGTATCATTACTACCTAGGTGATGCAATTGTTTGTTATGTTAATGATGATATCAAACATATTGCATAATAATCATGACCATCATGAATATTTGATGGATGGAGGCATTCACATACAATGAAATGATTAAATAGCTAAGTCATGTTTATTTTTATCTAACAAAGATATATAATTCAAAAAATAATTATTTTATTCCACACTTGCAATGAATGGTATTATTTGTTTATTTAGCATTAATGATGGAATCAATCACACAAGTGGTAGACAATTTATTTAAAAGTTTTATTTGAAATGATATTATTTTAAATGTGTAAAAAAATTTTTTTTAATGTAAAAATCTTTATTAACATTAATATTTACTGTTTAGTATAATTATCATAATTTACACTTTTATCACCATTTAACCAAGTAGCTTTGTATATAGCTGCAAACTCGCCATCACCTACCTTTTCAATATTTGCTAGATCATTATAAGGAACCCATTGAGTATAATCGTTATAACAATCTCCTGCTTTAAGTTGTGTACTTTTAAACAACTCATCTAATGTTTTATTGCCAGTAATCCGTCCTTCAGTTAATAGCTTTTGATCACACCATGTCCAACCAGTATTAAATCTATTGCAGGTTGGACATTTCCCATACATTTCTTTTCTTTTCCATGAATATTCATCATAATCATTTTTGTCAATAGAAAGACCATCAGGAATGATTATTGGTCACTTTGTTGAAAAAATTCATCGAACTCTTATGCTTTCTTTTAGAATGTTTTTTTTTCACTTGTATTTTTATTTTATTTCAAAACAGTCACAAATCTACCGAACAATTCTGCATTAAGTAAATAGATTCGGCATGACACCCTAAAGTCGAAAAAGTCGTAAACCATAAACCGTAATGCTGTAACTATTTACTGCCTATAAATATTGCGAGCGTGCAATCCGAATTATTTATTACGAAGTCACCAAATCTGGCACACAGTCAATAATAATGTTTAAATTAAACTAAAATCATTATACTACTTGAGTAGAGTTTTTATTCGAATAAAGTTTATTTGAATTATTCGTTATGAATTTGAGTATTCGGATTACATTGAATATTTATTATTATTCGAATAAACGAATAATTTGAATGAAACGAATTAATTCTAATTCAATAATTCAATAATTTGAATAAAACGAATAAAGGAATCAAACGAATGATTCGAATAAAAATTTATGAATAGAAACTCTATACTTGAAATATCCCTACAAGCAATATAGTAAAACTAACAATGGCCCCTAACTAATTATTAAAGGTTGGCCCAACCATCAATCATCAGAAAGGACTATGAGTCAATTATATTAGCCTTATTAATTAGTTATCAAAGTGCTAGGAGGTTATATTATTGAAATTTGTTTTTATTGAGTAATTTCTTTCACTGGGAAATTCAAGCATATGTATACTTCCTTGAAGTATTACAAATAACAAGACTTTTTACATGATTTTGATCAAGAAAATAAGAGAATGATAAATGATGACTAATTGATGATTATTGTGATGTCCTGATTAATGATAACTTATGAAATGTTTTCGTAAGCAGGAGATTATTTCGTCACGTTTGGCGAAATTGATGGGGGATTTGTAAATGCTATATAACTCAAGTGTTGATGATAATTTGTTTTCCTCTTAACCAGGATCTACGTTTACCAAGGTGCCTATTAAAATTCTAAAGGCTAAATGTCTGTGCTGTCCCAAAAAGTTTCAACGTGAAGAAACGTCAAATTTACTTATTGGATGTGACACGCGTTTCACTTTCTTCAAAGCAGGAGATTATTATTATGTTGTTTATTATCAGAAAATAGAGATGATTATTTAGAGCAAGAATATTATAATATTAATGACATTCTGCAGTCATTTTGGTAAAAAAATTTATTATACACAGAATTTTCTGGTGATTATTAGAATTCCTTCGTCAATATGCCTCTGGCGGGTGGTAAGTACATTTCATCAGTTGACTAAATGCCGATCAGTCCATCAGGTATCTTTATTTAGAACAAGAATATTACAATATTAATAACAGTCTTACAAGTAACAATTTTGGAAGATGATAATAATTCTCAAAGATAATTGGAAAATGCAAATCAGAAAAAAACATAATTCACGTAACTCATCCAAATTTGATTCGGATTTATTGAAAGATTTAAATTTAGGAACCCTTTATAATATCTACAATCATACCTCATTTATATCTATATCCCGTTTTTAATTGTGTACATCCCAAGTTGAGCTGAAATAAATTTCCCTGTTCTAATTACCTTCACGTGTGACATAAATTATTTTTTTCCAAGTGGCTAAAGAATAAAGTGTGGAGTTGGGGGCTGTGGCAAAATAAAGAGTATGTTGAACTAAAAAGACAACGTTATGTATGTATATTGAATTAAAAGCTGTAGTATATTGATTAAATTAAAGAAAATGATTAGAGGATTAAAGGCTTGCGTTAAATTGAAGTTCATATATATATGAGAAGGGTTATTATGGTCTTAGAGCCTCTCAAAGACCTTGGTTTTGATTTAGTAATAAAAGGCATTAAAGGTTCATCACAAATATTAATATTAATAGAAGAAGATACCAGTAGTGAAGAAGAAGAGAAGCCAAAAATCCCTAGAAACAAATTGATTTTGCTACCTAAAATTCGTTTTTAATATGTCATGTGGTCACATATCTCATAATAATAAGCCCCCGAAAATATAAATGAATCATGCATGATCTTCGTGATCTAAACCAAATGACATTATATAGTTGGAGCTTACCATATTTATGTTAAACAAGAAATCTTATATAATGGACAAATCTTGAAGTGAATGAAAGGAGTAAGGACCTAGTTCCTCAAACAACTAAATTCTTTATTGAATTGACATACAAGTGTATGGATGCTGATTCAACAGATGAATTATTTATTTATAAGGTACTAGTGTTTAATGGAAATTTACATGTGAACACTAATAGTAGAAAAGCCCTCTTCAGCTTATGAATTTCAATAAACAGTACTAATCATATTTTTTTTTTAATGGTATTAAGTCATCCGATTTGAAGAAAAATCTAAGAATTATTTAATTATTATACACTATACATGTAGTGTAAACTCCCTTAGGATTAGTTTTATATTTAAGTTAAACAAAATCACCAATTTTCCCACGTTTTTCTTGTAAAAAAATCCTATAATGATTATAACGTATCATGATTCTTTTTACCTATGGTATACTCAAGAGCATTATATGAACCAAGGAAGCTTCACCCAACAGTATTTTTCTTTATAGGCAATCCCTCTCGTTGAAAAGCTAGTAATAGCTAGATTTCCCCTTTCCGATAAGAAAATTCAAGCAAATGGTTGTAAATGAGTACTTCTGAATGAATGATATAACATGACAAAGTAATAACTTATACTCATTAATCTAACCCTTCAATAGTAAAGAGAGATAAGATCGATAACTTGTATTTGCTCAGGATCCCGTTATCTTTTTTTTATAGAAAATATTAATACTATATACAGGTAAAGAAAGCCTTTATAATAATATTTTATCTATCTTGTATAAAAAAATATTATTTTCAAACTCATGACAATAACATGAAGAAATTCAACAAGCTATATAGCAAGAGAATTAATTATGTGCCATAGTGAATTAATTATCAATGAATCTTAATTTTAACAATTTTTAAAATTAAAAAACAATCATTATTTTTTTTGGCCATTTTGATTGGCAAAGTTAAAGTTTGATTATTAATAACAAATTAAGAAAGATTTAAACAGGTTTTTTTTTAAAAATTTAATTATTATTTATTTTTAAATTTAAAGTTGATATTTATTATGCATAACATATATATATATATGAATAGATAACATGTAACGTGTGTTGTCATAATTAATATTAATTGTTATTATCATTTCTTTTTTTAAGAGACAGACGGACATAGCGCGCGCATAATAATTTAATAATAATAACGAAAATTAAAAAAACGAGTTTTGAAAAAACAAAAATTAAGTAATGCAATAAGGAGAAAGAAACAAAGAAAAAGGAAGAATGACTTAATAATTCTATTTAGTGTAGATATTAACCTGACCATTATTACTATTATTATTGATCGTTACTTTTATTAATTATTCGAATCGGGAAAATAAAAATGCAAACAATAGTAATCAATGTTAAATGGTTCATTTTATTATCTATTTTCATTATTAGTTAGCCTCATTTGCTATTTTATTCCCTGCACAAAATATTAATTCCTTAGAAATGCTTTTCTTGCCTTCAATCTCAATAATCTGTCTATTAACAAAATGGCGAAGTCATAATAACGATAATGAATAAAAAATGATTTTCTCGTTGATATTTCCGAATATGGGTTTATAGTTTTGCTTAATTGAGAGAAAAGTTTTATTGTATGATTCTCCTCTCCCCATAAAATAATAATGAATGAAATCCAAAAAAGATATTTTATAAAATAAATTTTTTTAATGAAAATTTTCCATCAATTGGAAAATTAAATTTAATTTATCGAGTTTCCCTCCTTTTTCCCCACTCCCTTCTTGCTTACTTAACTTTTGCTTCCATGAGAATTTTAATTCACCAAATGTGCATTTTAAAAAATCTGATGGGGTAAAAGGTCAAAACTTGATGTGTTTTGGGTTCATTAACTTTATGCGTGTAACTTGACGTGCTTCTTTAAAAAAAAAAATAAAGTTATTTATCATAGTTGTTGTAATATAAAAAAAATCTAAAATAACGAATAGAAAATATGAATACATATATATCATCTGAAACACTGGAGGGAGAAGAGAGAGATGAAAAAATGATCGATTGTGATAAGAGTAAGTCCCGTATAATTTAAAAATAACTAAGCCGTGAAATCTTGAAAAATTTACTAAAAATCAATAATAAATGAAATGATATAATAAATAAATATGACGATGAAATTATCTTGTGTAATGAATAAAATCATAATAATATAAATAAATAAACAAAAATCAATGGACCTAAATCCGGCAAGAATCTTTCTTTTTATTAAATATTCCTATCGGAGAAGAAAACATGAATTAATATTTTCGGGGCTTATACTACTGTTGATTGGCTGTTAATATATTGATTGATAGATTGATTGGTATATTATGAGTCACCTTTGATTATTTAGAATAATAATATAATATATATGTGCATATATTTGTACAATAGTAACAATAGAAGAACGAGAGGGAAAGGAATTAGGAGAAATATCTAAAGTTTTAAGTGTGAGAAATTGAGAAATGATTTTCTTTTAATTGTTTAATTAGAAATTGTAAATTAGAACTTTAATTATGTATGATATAATTATAATCTGCATCACACATACATTTTATACTATTAAAAAGTTGCTTGTTCGCGTGGAATGTAATGATGATTTCGAAACTCTTTTTTGTGTTCTATATTCGGAGAATCTAGGATTTTTAAGTTCGTGCTTGCATTAGTTTAAATTTATTTATATGTTCCTAGCCAAGTTTAGGTTCATATAAAAATTCCTTGATCTCAAACCGGTTTTTTTTGTGTAAGTCGCGTTGTTTACATAAAATAAATGAATTTGATATATATAATTAATCATCACATATTTAATATGTAATTTTGTTTCGAACGTGTTTTATATTATACTATATTATTTTTTTTTTACTTAAAAACCCCCAAAAATTATTTTCAAAAAAAAAAACAAAATTTCTTTTTTTATTTCCATTGTCAAAAGGAAAAGCAAATAAAAGAAACGAGTTTTTTTTAGACCAAGAAACTTTTTTCAAAAAAATCATTTAGATAACAAATAATAGATACGGTAACTTGTTATTATCCGTTAAATATTTGGTAAATATTTGTCTTTTTATTTTTTTTATATATATAGTCGAGGACTTTTTTCTTCTCTTTTTTTTTTTCCATAAAAAATTTTTTTTCCTTTATTTTTTTTTTTTTTAATTAATTCTCTTTGAGAGTAAAGAAAAAAAAAGGAGGAATTTTTAATGATAAAAAAAAAAAATTTTAAATAATGAAAATATAATTAATTTAATTTAATTATAATAATTGTTATTTAAATATAGATAGATATATAAAAAAAAAAACGCGAACGATCGCTAGAATTCTTATTTTTTCTATATATATATTAAAAACATTATTATTATCATGGCAACAACAACAATTACCACAACAAATAACTATCATAATCATCATTATCAAGAAGAAGAAAAAGAAGAAAAATCTATTAATAATTATAAATATGTTGATGAATTATGTACAGACATATCTGATTATTTAGAATATTTGAGTAAATTAGCAAAAAAAGAAATTAGAAGGTCAGAGGAATATAATAGAAATATTGACAACGACGACGGTGTTGATGATGATGATGATGATGATGATGGTGACGATGATGATGGTGAAAGTGACGAAAAAATACAATTATCTGATTCAGTTTATAAATTTATAGAAGATTATAAAAATTATAAAAATAATCCTTTTCCAGCTTTTAGTAATAATATGTATAAAGAAGATATTGATGGAAAAGATGTTAGAAGACGTGAAGGTAGAAGAGGAGGATTCTGGAAATACTCAAAATTCGACGAAGAAGCATTTAATGAAAAAATCCAAAATTATATTTTATCAACTTCTTCATCACAAAATATAACCAAGGTTGATAATATAAATGTATTAGGTTTGCTTGAATCATTCTACGATGCTATAATTACAAGTAACGTGAATTATGAAAATGTTGAAGCTCACGATGACGCAACTATTACTAAAGATAAAGAAACATCATCTACTTCTTATGACAATGATGACGGGGACGAAAATAGCTCAGCTGTTAGATTATTAAAATCAATTAAGCATAATAACGATCTTATAATCAAGAATAATGATCTTATTAAATCTTCTTCGTTTTCGTCTTATTTATCATCACCGGAATATCTGTTCAACTTTAACCACTTGTTTGATTCTTCCAATTATTCTAAATGGTTAGTCTCCTCCTCCTCATTTTTTGCGTCTTCTTTATTCAAAGAAAAATCATTTAATAGTGGCAATAAGAATAATGATGATGATAGTAATAGTGATAGCAATAGCGATGGTGTTGATAATAGTGATAGTAATAACAAAGAGATAACAAATAAGGAAGATTATGAAAATAACGACGATAGTAATTATAACAAAGAAAAAACTTATGAAGATAAAAAACTAGTCACAGATAATAACAACAATAATGATAATAAAGTAATCCAATCAGAAAAATCTCCAACAAAACAACAAATTAATTTGGAAAAATATCAATTCGATTTAATCGAAAAAATTGTAAGTAAAAAATTATTCCTTATTGTAAAGAAATTAAAAAATCCATTATTAATTAATTAATCAATCAATTAATCGATCACTTTTTATTTATTCTAGCTTTCCTACACGAAGTCTGAAATTCTTCGTCCACAAATTCCATCCATTTTGTGGGATCGTTGGGAAGTAATATAAAATATATATATATATATATATATATATACATAAATTAATGTTTTAATGTTTAATGTGTTTATTTCCAATTTATTATTATTCATTTGCATCATCATCTACCTATGATTTCATTTATCTATGAAAAAATTTTCCCACTTTATAATATAATATGCTTTTTTTTTTTAAATGAAATTTTCTTGTATATATTTTTCGCATACTTTACTGTAAAAAAACATTTTTTTTAATAATAATTTATAATAATTAATAAATAATTTTTTTATGGAAAAAAAAAAAATTAAAAACAAATGAAAATTAATAACGTATATTTCTCAAAAACTAGCAGGGGAAAAATGTTTTTAAAAAAAATAGCCCTTTACGCTTTGTAGGGGAGGGGGAGCCTCTCATGAATTAATTACATTACACGTCGAATGGCGCCTATCTAAAATATTAATGTTAATATCTGCGGATTTTATTAAAAACTCTTTCTACTAAGCAATAAGTTTGTTGAGCTTATACACATTTTTAAAGATTGAACAAAAAACTTTAATATTAAATTTAAATAATTCGCCCAATGAAAATCATTATTGAAGTGATATAAAAACTCGAATTGGCGTAAAGTTCGTAATAAAATCGCGCCTGTTATTTCAAAAATAAATGGTTTATTTTTACTTAATAAATGGTTTATTTTTACTTAATAAATAATATTTTACGTGTCCCTCTTCCTGACATTTATCGCATATTCTTTTTGGACAGTGTATTTTACATTCTCCACATTGTATTTTTGGGCAATCTTTAAATTTATGGCCGCTTGCTTCACAGCTTGAACACCTGAACCAGTTATTTTCTTGTCTTTGTTTCCTTGCTAAGGACTTTCTTTTTTCCTTCTCTCTTGCCATTCTTCATTTCATTGGCTTCCGTTAATTGTGCATGATCTTTTCTTCTGGCATTTTTCCAACAATTTCTTCTTCTAGTTTCTGGATCTTTTAAATCGATCTTTTTTGTTCCTCATTCAACAATTTGTTGATTGATTGTTGATAATCTTTCCTTTTCTTCCTTAAGTTCGATATTATTTGTTCCTTCGGTTCTTGTTCTCAATAATGAATTGATTATCTTCATAAAATATCCAGCGAGCTTCCTCATTTTTGATATATCCTCCACAAAGAATATGTAGAACAAATAGTATACATGGGGGAGATATATTACTATAACCTTGCTATTGATGATAACACCTATCTCGCCTGAGCAAAGAATTAAGACAATATCTTTTTTTTTTTAGACAATATCTAATGGTTGAATTTTCACATGATTTCAAGGATTCATCAAATGTCAAAAAATAAAAAATTTCATCTTTATTAAATTCTAACACCTCTAACACACGTAAAGCACACATTTTATTGCTTAATTAAACTAAAATATAATATTGATAAAACCTATATTATTTGAAATTGTACAAATAAAGGTATATAAATAAAATAAAATAATTGAATAACAAACAATTAGAAAATTTATACGCGTTCACATACATACGCATACATGGACAGAAGAATGGGACACCCACCCATTACACAAAAATGTACATAACAAATTTATATCAGTTTATAGCAAGATTTTTGATGATAGAAAGAATGACGTGCTTTGAAATTTGTACATGTGATAAGCTAGGATCTTCTGATTCTCAGACCAGAATTTCTTTTGTGTTTTTTGTCTAATTAACATATTAGGATGTGTCCCAATTCTTTGTACAACAAATATAAAATTTTATTAATTTTATTAATTAATTCAACTTTCAAACATCAAATAAAACAACCAAAAAGTCGGTGATCTCTACACAATTTTAAAGACAAAAGTACCAGTTACAGCTTATGAATATGGCGATTGATTGGTCCATTGGTACAAAAATATGCTGCTACCAAAGTAGAACCAGGACCTGTAACTTATTTCAAAGAAATGCTTGATGAAATGTCAAGACAAAACGTTAAATGGATGTTGGATCGAAGGTGCTCCTCACATATTATTTTTGGATATAAATCCTGTTAGGGATAGACTTGATTCATGGATGGCTGATTTATGGAATTCCTTCTCCCAATTTTATAGAAATCAATTTGGTGCACCAAATGATCAAGAAACCAACGATGCAATTCTATTTGGTTACCTGGTTGGTTGGTTTATAAACGATGTAAGTTCCAGTTCAATCAATATAATGCATTCATATATCATATATTTATTTATATATCATATACATAGTTTGTAGTACGCGAAAGATCCAAAGCTATCATCGCACACTTTCATGAATGGCTACCAGGAGTTGCCATAGCCTTATTTCGTAAACGAAGAACCGATTTAACAACAATTTTTACCATACGTGCAACCTTATTAGGTTACTTATGTGCTGGCTCTATAATAATATTCAAATTTTCAAGTGGATGAAGAAGAAGCAGGAAAACGTGGAATATATCACCGTTATTGTATTGAATGCGCCGCATTCCATTGTGCCAATGTTTTCATCACTGTCAGTCAGATCACTGCTTATGAAGCCGAACTTTTATTAAAATGAAAACCAGGTAATTATAATGACCACCATCATGATGATTCTGAATAATGAAATAAAAATAAAAAATATAATCTTTAATTATTTCATTTTATAATAGACGGAGCTCTTCCAAATGGTTTAAATTCTCTGCTATGCATGAATTTCAAAATTTATATGCAATGAATAAAGAAAAAATATGTGATTTTGTTAAAGGACATTTTCATTGCCATTGTGATTTTGACACACTTTACTTTTTTTCACTGCTGATCGTTATGAACATAGAAATAAAGTTGTAGATATGTTCATTGGATCATTAGCTCGTAAGTCTCGAATTTTAATTATAATAATAAAAGGTTTTTTAACGACATATTAAAAAAAATATTTATTATAGGTCTTGATTCTCTTTTGAGAGCATGTATGTAATTCACCAATGACTTATAATTATGCCTGCTGCAACTCATTCAATCGCAGTTGAATTTTTGAAATTGTAAAAGACATCACTGAAAAATCGGTCAAAGAACATTGAAAAGGCAGCTAGATCTTCAGAGTAAGCATATATTAATTACCACTATTAATATTACATTTTTCATACATTAATATTAATATTGATATTAATATTTATAGAGGTCATATTAATGATACATTAAATGATCAAAAAGAGTTGCTAACCAAATGGAGAAAAGGTACTTTTGAGACGACATGTAATTGCTCTCAGTCGTAGTATACTTTCACCAATAGTGACACATAATATGGTAGATGATGCTAATGACCCAAATTTGAATCAACTTTGACAAGTCCAACTATTCAACAATTCATCAGGTCGTGTCAAAGTGGTATTCCAACCAGAATTTATAAATTCATTTGGGATTGACTATGAGGATTGCCATATGGGTGTATTTCCAAGTCATTATGAACTGTGAGAATCCATTACAGCATATTTAAAATAGTAGTAGATTTTGATTGGCCAATCCATTCCTCTAAATCAAAGGAAGAAGATGATGATTATGACAAATAATATTTAAATATATTATCATTACATCTATCCACTACACTAATTCTATCTAATCAGATGTGTATAAATTATTGAAGGACACTTGTGGTCTTTTGATGTCTTATGTTATGACTTCTTGTCTGACATTCCGCCATTTGAAGAAAAGTATAAAAGAGACGAAAGGATTGATTTCAAAATGCTTGAGCATATTCAAAAGATGCCAATACAATCACAATGAGAACATAATAACAATAATGATTCACTAAAAACAATTGATGACTAATGTTAATATAATTTTAAATTTGTTTAAAAATAATATATAATAATAATTTTAAAATCTTCCAATGAACGAAATATAACTACTATATAGTACCATCATGTCTTATTAATGGAATTGGATAGCTTTAACCACCATCGTCATTATCAATATAATTATTGCTGTTTGGTCCCAACATTTAAATCCTAGAGTTTGTATTCCATCTCTAACGTAATCGACATTATTAGAGCGACCACCAATGCCACAAAGTTCACTACTGACACTACTAATGCTAATACTACAAATTTCTGGACACTAGTGTTGATAATGGTCTTGCCATTTTGTATTTGTGTCGATCTGAGCCACAATCGCCTATTATTATTGAGTCTGGTTCATTTGAACGATTCAGGGTAAATATGATACAATACCAATTTCCTGACTTTCACACACTCCATACTCGTCAACTTCCAATCCAATACATCTGACAATCTTTCTGTGTGATTGACATGTTGGCGCCTTGTTTTCTGACAGAATTGCAGCACTTAGTCTGCCAATTGTTGTACCGATTCCTCGACAGATTTCATCCGACAATCTACAATATAAATACCATAATCTATTGAATTCTCAAGCGTCTTTCCATAAAACAACTAATTCTTTATCATCACAAATGGTTGGTATACTTGCTTTTTTGTAATATCAACGTTAATAAGTAATTATAAGAATGATCTCGAGATGTAAAGTATTCTCTTGATAAAGATAAATTAAAGAATCTGTCATATGAGCAAATACGCTAATGAAAGTAATATTTTAAAAACTTCATGTGACACGAATTTCGATTTTCACTCATGTGCCTCAGGGATATGTCGCACAACTAATAACTTTCTTTTTCATGGCGGAAGAAAATAATGAGGAGCTAAGATATTTAGGTAAGCCTGTTATATCGTTAAAGACAAATTAGGAATACAAATCTTACACCCTTATATTTTCAGAGTATTGGAGTAGGGATCCTAACAACTGGGGAAATGTTAAATGACTGGGATATTCATTGGATCAAAACAAACATAGTTCCCATCTTGCCTTGTCTGAGGAGCTGAAGTGTCTGAAAAAAAAATATGTGTACACTACACATCTTGCTCACGGAACATCCTGTCGATTGCAAAGCGAATTACAGGAAAGTACTCTTAGTATAGTTTTTGATGGTACTGACGCAACTCCATGACTAATCTGGCAGCCGTGTGTTGAGAAAGTTTTGCCTGCGTGTAAAACTGACGGGTAGCGCCCGCATGTGCATGGTCATGGAACGTTTGGGTTGGGCCCGCGAGTCCGACTAAGGAATGCTTCACATGAACTAAACCTGAGGGCCCGCGTGTCATTGGGGAGGGCCTGCGTGTCCGTGGTTCTTGTGAATTTTCTTCCCACCACATATCTCAAAGTGCATTTCTCCAATAAATATGATTTTTTAAAAATAATTTACTTCTATTAAATCCTTAGTTATTAATTATTGTTTTTTTATGCAGAATACTACAAAAAATGATGAAATAAAAAACTTTGGGATATAAGCAATCAAATTTTATCATTAAAGATGGAATTAGATCTTGTTGACTTGGAGGCAGAAATCCTAAAGGCAAGTGATATTTAAATGTTCTATTACTTTAGAATAGCATCTTATTCTTCCCTTTTTTTGAATTTATTATTTAGAAAAAAGGAGTTCGACATGGCCTTCAGATAGCACGTCGAGGATTCCAATTATATTCTGACATGGAATTTGATTCAGTAGAATGAGAGCGGAAGAGGTCGAAGTTAGATAAAGATAGCTATGAAAAACCTCATTGCCAATCAATTAGCAAATCTAAAATATTGTCTGTAGAAGTAGATGTGTCGTCAGCATTTTTAAAACCTCTCAAAATACTTTCGACAGGCTCATTTGTCGTTTTGAGACAAAGAAGGTGGTTATTACTTAGACAAGACTTATTTTATCTCTAAAATAGAGAGAGAATCTTGATGTTTGTGCTACCCTTTCACTACGTCCTCGTCGTTTTGGAAAGACGCTATTCCTTTCTACTTTATCCTCTTATTATGATGTAAAGAACAAAGGAGAATGATTCGACCAACTTTTTGGTGATTTATACATCGGAAAAAATCCCACATCATTAGCATCTTCATTCCTTGTTCTTAGACTCAATTTTTCTGGACTTCGTACCAATTCAACATTTGAAATTTTTGAGGAGGATTTCCATAAAAGTTTGAACATAGACATGGCAAAGCTTATGTGCAGATATCGACAAGAGTTGAAGGACTATTATCAAGTTTGGGATTAAAATGAAAGCGCTTTGGTGAATTTTAAAGAGTTACTGAATGCGATAGAATTGAGCGGTCACAAGGTACTTTCTCTTGCTTAGTTACCATCACTTTTCAAAAAAGAAACAACAAACTAATTTTTTTCTTTAGATCTATGTTTTTATTGATGAATATGATGCTAGAATGACCGAAGTCCTTAAAAATGGATCCACCTTAAAACCTCTTATTGTTCATCATAAAAATTCTCTAAGCAGAACTGAAGCAATGGAGAGTTCATTCAAACAATTTTACATTCGATTGAAATCTGCTTGTGATAATGGCATTGCTTATGTTTTCCAAACTGGCGTGACTCCTATCGTCATGTCTGAATTCACTTCGGGGTTCAATATTTCAACAGACTTGGCATTGAGGGAAGAATTTTGGGATTTATATGGGTTTAAAAAAGTCAGAAGTTGAACTTCTCTTGGATAATATTTTTGAAAATAGTTTTTTACATGATATTAAAAATAGGATAATAAATGGTTAGAAGATGAATATGGGGGATATTATTTTAATCCTGATTAACAAAAAGGTATATTCAATACCGGCAGTATTTTATACAGTACTCGGATGCTAACTGGAAGAATCAATTATGTAGAACGTTACAAGGATACTTCCATATATATTAAAAAGATTCTTCAGTTTTCTCCCGATCCACATACATTGCCCTCACAGACAACAATGAACTTAATTGTAAACAATTCCCTTGGTAAACCAATACTTACTGAATCAATTGGTCAACTTTCTCTTGAATCAAGAAATGGCATTGAACAACGATTTTGACTTGTAAACATTCGTGAGCTGGTCACTCCATTGTTGTCGTTCTTGTTCTATACTGGAGCTCTTACTTATCAACCAGACAGTTCAAAATTTAGTTTTCAGATTCCAAATAATGTTTCAAAAAGACCTGTTCAACAATGTTTACAAATTTTAGAAGCAAACAATGATATTTGATCCATCATGTCGATTTGTAGAAGAACTATTACTTAAACCTTTGAAAGACAATAGTATTGTATGCTCCAATGAGGAAACATCAAAACAAACATTTTTAGATACTTTGATTTTGACTTTACATGCAAACATTGAACCAGAGTTTCAGGTCGATTTTAATAGTAAATATTCATATGGAAAGGCTACAAACTTGATAAAAACAAGCATGAGAAAGAGAATTGCAATTGAATTTGACAATATTAAAACGGAATGTATAAAGTTAAATGGAATTCATGATAGTTGGCAAGAGGCTACTCGAATCTCACTATCGTTAATGAAAAATTAGAGGACCACTCTCAAAATAACAAACATGCATTTCAAATCTGCATCATTTCGTGATCTTCGTGATCTAAACCAAATGACATTATATAGTTGGAGCTTACCATATTTATGTTAAACAAGAAATCTTATATAATGGACAAATCTTGAAGTGAATGAAAGGAGTAAGGACCTAGTTCCTCAAACAACTAAATTCTTTATTGAATTGACATACAAGTGTATGGATGCTGATTCAACAGATGAATTATTTATTTATAAGGTACTAGTGTTTAATGGAAATTTACATGTGAACACTAATAGTAGAAAAGCCCTCTTCAGCTTATGAATTTCAATAAACAGTACTAATCATTTTTTCATCTCTCTCTTCTCCCTCCAGTGTTTCAGATGATATATATGTATTCATATTTTCTATTCGTTATTTTAGATTTTTTTTATATTACAACAACTATGATAAATAACTTTATTTTTTTTTTTAAAGAAGCACGTCAAGTTACACGCATAAAGTTAATGAACCCAAAACACATCAAGTTTTGACCTTTTACCCCATCAGATTTTTTAAAATGCACATTTGGTGAATTAAAATTCTCATGGAAGCAAAAGTTAAGTAAGCAAGAAGGGAGTGGGGAAAAAGGAGGGAAACTCGATAAATTAAATTTAATTTTCCAATTGATGGAAAATTTTCATTAAAAAAATTTATTTTATAAAATATCTTTTTTGGATTTCATTCATTATTATTTTATGGGGAGAGGAGAATCATACAATAAAACTTTTCTCTCAATTAAGCAAAACTATAAACCCATATTCGGAAATATCAACGAGAAAATCATTTTTTATTCATTATCGTTATTATGACTTCGCCATTTTGTTAATAGACAGATTATTGAGATTGAAGGCAAGAAAAGCATTTCTAAGGAATTAATATTTTGTGCAGGGAATAAAATAGCAAATGACGTGTTTGTTGATCAAATAAAATTTTAATTCTTGTTTAACAATGTCAAGATTTAATAGAAAATGACAATGTG